CGATTCGGTGGGCGTATTCGATGGCCAGTTGCGACTTGCCCACGCCGCCGAGGCCTACGAGGGCCACTCGACCAGCCGGCTCGGAGCATCGCTTGTCGATCTGGTCGAGAATGTCTCCGCGGTCGACGAAATCGGGGGGTGGATTCGATGACACATACGTACCTTACGAACGGCAAGAATGTTGAAGTGAGGTCAAGCCTACGGGCTGCTGAGTATGGACGCTACTATCGTGAAAATCTTGGATGCGGACACGAGAACGAAGTGGGCAGGAAGAGGCCTTTTTCCGTGCTTTCATTTAATTGGTTACCAAAGTCTGGTTGCACAGTGCAACACTGTGAAGTTTGTTACTCGTCGGTTATTTGAGATAGCTTCAACCCAGCTCTGGCCAGAGCCCTCCTCATAGCGGGGTCACCACAAGTTCGCCTCTCTCCCTGCCACTCATCCTTCCTTAGACATTCTTCCTTTAGCGCTGCTAGTGGTTTGTGGTTGCCCCGTGGCTTTACGAGTGTCGTTGGTCCTCGCGCACGAGACTCGCGGCCCACTGTTTCTATCTGCCAATCAAAAAACCTCATCATTTCCCAATCCGGAATTGTCTTCACGTCCTTCACCAAACGTCACCGACCACTCCACCAATCAGATGTGAAAGTTGGTGCTGGAACCAAGGGAGAGACAACCTGATGCAATACCACCTAACCCCACACTCACTGGTCGAGCATAACCTGCAAATGTAGGGCTTCCATCTACAGAGGACCACAGCGCCACCAAATATGGCGCACTCTACTTTCCCACCCCCCGCTATCAATGTCAACTTCCCTACTTTTCCAAACTGCTTGTCTTCTTTATCTTCCTCTCCTCGACCCCCTTTCTGTATTTCCTCCTTATCCGTGTCTCGGAGGGGCGCAGGAGGGGCCATTCAGAGCATCGGAAATAGATCAGGAGTTTGATAGATATGCGCCAAGTCCTATTGGCGCTAAGGCAGAAGATGTAGGGGTCAGCTTGAATAGCAACGAAATGGAGGTGAGGTGTATACCCACCCACACATATACGCACAGAGCGCCCGGCGGGCTTAACCTGGAAGGGAAGGTACTACGGTGTATAAATACATTTCTTAGATTTCACTAGGTGGGACATGAATAGGAACTGATGCTTGAAGAAAACTTATGTTCTATGTTGGTTGACGAGTACGGGCGTTAGGTACACTGCGTGCGATACCGTTATTTTTCCCGCGTTATTGACTAGGAGCCAGACATTTTTTTAAAGAGTCCGCAGCGGGGGAAGCCTGCGGCACCGACATTGCCCCTGTGGCTTATAGCTTCGCATTGTAGCGGGGAATAATGCTAAAGGAGAATCAGCGCGGTTGAGAGCAGCGCGTACGGCCCATGCCGGGTCTGCTCCTAGTTTGCTTGATTCGGTTGCGGTGGTCCATGCTTTTCCTCCACGACGAGCATCTCGGTCGGCTGGATCGGACCATACGGGCCACCGGCGCGCCCGGTTCGACGTTGGCCAGCTCGGCGAGGCATGATCTCGTCGTACTCTCGCCCTGTACACGGCAACACCTTATATCACACGGTTTCATGTATTGTGCAAGGCAATTCTATGTCTTCTTGGCCGATTCCAGGCATGATTGCGAGACCGCGCCCCCGCTCCGACCGTCTGCAGCAGTGCCGGAGAAACTGCTCCCTTATTCGGAATACCCACGCCGTTGGTCGCAATCGGGCCGGATATAAGCGTAGCTGCGGTAAGGGCCGTAGGCAGCCGGTTGCGAGAAAGGCGGCTTGGTGTCTCGGATATGATCGGATTACACCGTGACTATGATGTATAGCAAGAGGAGCGTCGCGCAGGCGGAGGATGGCAGCATCATTGTGGACAGCGATGGCCCGGCTACTGATGACGGCTACGGATCACGCTTGATCTCGCAAAGAGGAGCCTCGGGCTCTACCCAGATATGGGCCTGAAAACCGGCGTCACGGGACCCGACGGCCCGTCAACCGCGCATGTCCGGGTAGAGAATGCCAAATATCAACATTTTTCAGTCCCCTCCGCCCTCCAACTATTTCCTTAAGATAGCTGTCTTGCTGCCTACGTACCAGGTAGGTACCTGACTTACCATATCCCCTCCGGACACCATCTGAGATTTGGAAACGTATTGGCCCCGACCAACCCCAACTTTTTTTATCCAATAGTTACCGGATCTTGCCGGGATTGGGTTTGATTTCTTGCGTAACCATCTTACACCCACATCACAGCCTATTCCCCCGTCAGGGGTGAACTATCGGAGACTGGCGCGTGGAACTGCGCAGGACGCGGCCGCGGCTTCGGCCCTGGGAAGGATGATGCGGTGCTGCGGCGCGTGAGATGACACACGTAGGCGTTGTGGCTGGTGCTGTTGCGCTGGGCCGTGCGGGTAGCGCTTGCTTTCCACTCCCGTGAGAGCCCAGGTTTCGAGGTACCATTCGGTCAACTTTTTATCTGTCTGACCGTTCTCGCCAGCCAAGTCCGCACTTGAACGGCGTTCACGTTTGTTGAAGGCCTGGGAACTTTGTTAGTTACGTGTGAACCTTCCACTCTTGGGAAAGGGAGAAACGTGGAGAAAGAAATTTACGTGGTTCGTGCTGAGGTTGCGTCTGATGCTCCTCTTCCACCATTTGTTAGGGCGCTCGCCCGTCTCGGTATGCTCGCAGAACCACTGGTAGATCTCGTGCAGTGTCATGGCGTGCCTCGGAGCGCTCAAGAGGGCCTGGTGAATGAGTTTGGCGTACCTCCCTCTGTGCTTGCCGGTTTGGTTCTGCCATTCCTGATACAGCACAGGGGGGGGGGGGGTTTGCTGTGCGGTCTGGTGGCCACGGGCGCGACGAGTGTCGGGGTTTGGCTGGCGGTGTGGTCGTTGGCAGAGCTTGGGAGCTCGTCTATGCTGATGGTCAGGGTTGTACTGCAGGGCGACATGAGGGGGGCGCTCTCTGGAGTCGGTGTGAACTTACCCTGACCTGGGGAGGTGCTGTAGCCACTCTCGGGGCCCTCAAATCCGCCAAAGGAGGGACCAAAGTCCGTGGAATACATGCTGTTGTTGTTGCCACCGTTGTACACGTAGCGCGAAAGCTGGGGATCTAAGTCTGGGTAGGGGTTGTGAGCTTGTTGTTCTGTTGCTTCCCAAGGCGTGGGGCCCAGCTGCTTGGGTGGCTCCCAATTGCGAGGTGGAGTGCTGCACTGGAGGCTGTGAATCATGAGAGGGGTGTGTAGGTCGTGATTGCCCGAGGATTCGGGACTTGCTTGCGGGGGAACGGAAACAGGAGTGTAGCTCCAGTATCCAGGCGTGTTGTAGTGATGTTGCTGGTTGTTGCTGGCTCCATAGACCCCGACTCTGCCCATGATAGAGACAGGCTGTTGCCCCTCCTGAGAGGGGATTGATTGGGAAGACGGGGCGTCTGGGACTGCCATCGTCGACAAGTACTCCATGTACGTATGTGTAGATGAGTGTGGTTTGATGAATGTGCTTGATGATGACCTTTCAATTTTGCAGTAGAGGTCGAAAGGAGAAAGAGTGGGAATAATACAAAGTACGAGGGCGAGTTGCTTGAACGCATAAAAGGCGTGGGATGCTACGCGTTCAGGCCTGGCTGTATTCTGAGGTGCTGGGAAATATGGAGGAAGATGGGAAGAGGGGTTTAATGTGCCAGAAATCTTTGCTGGAGTTTGGGCCGGGCCGGATAGTGGAGAAGTAGTCCTCTCTCCAGTGACCAGATACCAGGGAGCTCCGGTCCAGATGCGTGTTGGTCGACGACAGATTCAGAAAGAGTGAAGTGCTCGAAATGTTTGCCTTCAGAGTTCCTTTGACTGCTGTTTCATTGATTCAACAAGATTGATATTTTGAAAAGGATGTCGAATCCAATGTATCAAGACGTAACATTCCAAGACAAGGCCGCAAATACGCTCATCCGGCCGTGAATCAGATAATTAATTACACGATATACCAGCAGAACCATAACCCTCCCTCCCCAATGTTTAATTAGACTAACGCAGTTTTCCTAAACCTTCCAAATCCGGCTCGTGTGTAACGACATTTTTGTTATTCTTAGTCCGAATCCGGCCCAGGGAGTATCTCGGGATCGATAGAGTTCCAAGTCGCTTCTATCGCCTCACTGTGTTGTCATCTGTTAGTCGCTGCCCACTTCAACCAAAACACCCTTGATAAGTATAAGCATGGGGGAGCATGGAAAGCACTTACACACTCCTCGCAACAACCCTTATCCCCATCTCCCGTACCAAAAAACGCAAGAACCGCCTCTTGGTACGATCCCTTCGGAACTGCGCCATCACGTCCCCGCGCGGTCCCACATCGCGCCCGTCTTTGCCCTTCTTATGCGTCACGACCACCTTAGTAGAACCGGGAGTGTGAGACACTTCCTCGATATCGGCCAGTTTCAGATGGAAGTTACACGGTTTCTTGAAGACGGACCACTTGATGGGTCCGACGTCCTCGAGGACCTGGTGCTCGATGACCACGCGCTGGTTCGGGCCGTTGTCCTCGTGGTGATGCGCGTTATGGCCGCGGCGGTGTTTGGACTTGGAGGACGGTCGGCGCGGGTACGGGTGCTGGTTCTCGTCTTTGACCCAGTGCCAGTACTGCGTAACGCGCGGGTTGGTGCCCTTGGAGCGCGTGCGGACTTGGTGTAGCTGCCATTCGTTTTCCATTAGGCGGTCGCCGCTGATAGAGTCGGATGAGGTGTAGCCGTCGTAGTCGAGCGTGGAGCCGATGTCCGAGGTGGCCTCTTCCTCTTCGGGGTTGTCGACTTGGTCGTTGTCCTTCTGGTGGATGTTGACGACGACGACGACCTGGGCAGGGGGTGATTTGGCGGTGATGCTGTCGTGGGTCTTTTCCTTGTTCTTATCCTCTTGTGTTTCTTCCTCTTCGGCTTCGCGTTCCTTTTCGGCTTCCCCTGCAACTTCACCTTCCGACTCGTCGTCAGCCTCGTCTTGGTCAGACTGGCGTTCCCCCATCTTTGCCTTTGTAGGAGACTTCTTGAGGATAATGCTGGGCCGTTTCGTGGACGGGGATATGCCGTTGCTCTTAGGCCCCTCTCGAGACTGTTGCCCAGATGAGGCGACGATCTTGATCTTCTTGACCCTTTGCCCTTCACCATTGGGAACAGTGGATTGTCCCGAGGACGACTCTGCTGTTGTCGGCCGCGATTCCTGCTCGGCAGAAGTGCCACTACCTACAGCCGCCCTTGCTCTAGTCGGCGTCGCATCCGGTGTCTGATGCGGATCCTTGCGCTTTAGCGACCGCGCAGCCGTGGTCTTTTTGGCCGTGCTACCACTCCCCGTCTCGCCATTTGCGCTCTTGGTGACATGAGCTGGTGGGCGGCCAACGCGAGCAAACCCATTGCGCGCGCGGAGCTATTCCACTTTCGGATCATGGTACGTTTTTCCGATCCACGAAGCCACGTCGAACTTGTGTCCCTTCTCTAGGTACTGTTCGTACAATCGATGGCGCACCCACTCCGATGGCGTGACGTCCAGGTTCATCTTGGGCAGCTCTTCTGTCAGCAGCTGCACAAGTCGGAAAAGCGTATCGTAGTTGGTGATGCGGGTGTTGATCCATTCCTTGCCGACGAGCTGGTACGGGTGGAGCTCGCCGTCCTTGAGGAACTTGAGGATCGTACGTCCCAGCTTGGCGTCACGGTTTGCCAGGTGCTTGTCCCGGTGTGTCGAGCCAGACTGGTCCAGTTGGTTATACTTCTTTTGGTGCTTCTACCGCAGCGGCTCGACGAGGTCTTCGATCTTGGGCCAGCTAGGCTCCCAGTAGGGATGGTCGGGCGAGATCTTGGCCAGAGGTACACCGCGTATTATGGGTGGATCGGTGAAGACCACCCCGTCATGTTTTACGCTGAGGACAGCCTTGTTGATTTCGGGGAGTTTATCTTCTTGGGCAGAGAAAGAGGTCGTAATAGAAGTTGACGGCAGAGGGACCCTGCGCGCACCTGGGAGTGGTTTACGAGGGCCTTTTTTTGGTGAAGCCTCCTTGTTGGCCTCGCCGCCATTCCCATCAACCGATACTGCCTCGATGGAGTCCCTCGAGTGGTCTAGGGAGACGGTACTCGCAAAGCTGCCCCCAGACAAGCGAGTCCTGGCCGGCGATCTCACCGAGCCGAGACTTTCACGTCGCGATTCTGGCGCACTTGGCTGCCGAGGGCTTTCCACCGCCGTAGTAGGCTCCTTAGACATCGAGACGGGTGTGTCGAGATCAGGTGTGGTGTTACGGGAGCTCAGATCAGAAGATGAAGCTAGGGATGGAGCAGCAGCAGGGACTGCCTTGGGCGCCTCTGGTTCCTCGATGGGCTGAGTCTCAGCATCCACCATTTCAATGTCCTCGTCGACGACTTGGGATTGGACTTTGTCGCTAGCGGTATTCTCGGCCTCGTTGTTGATAGTTGACCGGATACTGTGGTTGCTATTCTGCCGGGAATGTGTCGCTGAAGTCCTCCCATCGGCTGCTGGCTGCACGCTGTTGGCCCGCTGAACATCGGGTTCTCCATTAGGAGCTATTTCAACATTCTGTGGCTTTTCCGGATCCTCGGCCGTGGCCGTTACTGTTTGTTGGCCAGCTTCATCTGCATCGACGGCCTCATTAGTGCCGAGATCCTCCGGGACTTGTTCCGTCAGCTCCGCCTCATTAGCCGTAGTGGTGTAAGGGATCTTTGCGACGTCATTTGGCAACGCTTCCTGCGCTTCCTCGTGTGCAATTATAGGCGTTGAAGGCGTAGCGGACGATTCCTCCTCGTGTCCGCCCGCATCTTCAGTCGCCTGCGTCGATTGAGACAGTCGCCTCTGCGCATTGTCATTCGCAACCGTTCCTGCATTCCCTGTGTTACCACCCACGAACTGCTCATTTCCCAGCCCATCCTCGCGACTCTGCTCAGTTTATGAGCGCGCTCCTTCTCACCCACAGACGCTGCTGACCGTGGAACGACCACCCCAATCCTTCCCCCACCATTCCCGACCAATCCACTACTCGCAACATCCAGCGCCACATCCCGATCCCCCACCTTCCGGCTTTCTTGCTCCTCTTCACCGCCACCACTACCATCAACAATTCCAGCCTGATTCGCATACCCCAACCCCCCCCTCCGGTACCATCGGAACCACTCCCTCTTTTTCCGATCCTCCTTTTCCCTCTCCCTGGCCCGTTCCGCACGCACCTGCGCCAGCAGCGGATCCAAGCCCTCCAGCTGCGCCTGGTACTCGTCATAGTCGCGTCGCAGCGCGTCAAGTTGGAGCATCAGCGACTTTTGCGCGTTGAAGTTGGCTAGCAGACGCGTGCGCAGGGTCTCGGCGCGCGACACGTGCTCTGCTGCGAGCGCCGCGTCCTCGCCGCTGCGGATGCGCGCCATTTGAGAGAAGTAGTTTCTCTCGATGGCTGGCCATAGATCCTCGTCTGGTCCTGTAGTGATGGTGGTGCTGGTGCTGGTGCTGGTGAATTTGTCTTCTGGGTAGATGCCAATGGCCATGGCGGCCGCCGCTGTAGCTGCCGCGGTTGCGGCGGTGGTAGAAGTGAGTGGTGTGGAGGGTGTGGTGGATGAGCGTGGCGGTGCTGGTGCGAGGATGGGAAGTGTCGATAATGCTGGTGATGCCGAAGGTGCCGGTGCCGGTGCGAGTGTCGGCAGCACGGTCCGATATTTGTCTGATGATGGCGCCATTGTGATGGCGACGACGGCGTTGAAAAAGTGTTTTGATGCGATGAAAGGAAAAAAAGGTTCCGGAAAACCGAGCTACACGCGAAAGAAGCGAGATGAAATGAGATGGTGCCGAATGACGTTGACGTTACGGCCGGCGGATTCTAATAAACCTAGCTAGCCAGGAACGCCCTTTGGTCCGCGCTGACATGGAAGGCCGTAAGCCACGAGTGAGGTGCGAAGCTGGTGTCAACCGAATAATTGCGGCTACCGAGACTCCCGGTTCTTGATATCCGGAATAAAAAGAGTCGGCCTGCTGATAACGAACCTAAAGGTTCCTTGTAGCGATAGAAAGCGCTTCGGGGCTCGCAATCGTGTTCGTCGATGCTCTCCGAGACATTCGCCCATTCCTGGTCCTCCCCAGACCGAAACTGGAATACGCACGGCGGTGCCAAAAAAAAACCGTTCAGCCTTGTTTTGTTGCGTTGCGACAAGACCTTCGGAAGGGGGTAGACAGAGGCACGACGCGCCATGCTATCTATAGGATGAGAAACACAATTTATCTTCCAAGCGCCAGCCTTGTGTGTTGATGTTGGACCACGAGACACGGTCGCAAGTCGCAACCACAAAAATGCCTTGACCGATCCAATCACCGCTAGGAAACACGTGCCGATTGTTTTCGATCGTGAGCCGTGGATTTCCCGCTGTGAGCCTGCCACTGATGGTGACCAGCCCCGCCCACTTGCAGCTTCCAGGAGGTAAGGGCAGTGAGTCATGTGTTGCCGCCGCGAACCCTTGGGAACGAGGACGGCCGCCGTGGTAACAGGCAACCAACCATACCATTTCAACGCGTCCAACGTAGCCCAATCATTTCTCTCTAGCAAGGGGCCGGTCGAAACACCACTTCAAGGAGATGGTTACCAACGTACATACCCCGCCACCATACTCTGTGGTGGCCTCACACGTTGCTTTAGAAACAGAGGCGCAGCCCAGCCAAAGTCCGGCGCGCCCAGGACAAGACGTGGATACAGAGGGTGATGGGGGGTTGTACAGTCTCTAGCGAAATCAGCTTCCGCTTTTCTCTCACACATCTTTTTGGCGCACGGATCATTTATGCATCTAACCATCCACACTGTGTGCCTTCACACGCGCTTGTGTACCACAACGCAGCGATGACTGTCAGCCGAGACTGTCAGCCAAAAGTGGCTCCGGCAAGAAATGGCTGTCATTCAGTTCGATGACGGCTGACAAATTATAAGCCGAATCTGGCTCCATTGCAGATTCCATCAACGGCATCACGCAGCCCCGGTGTTTCAAGCCGAGTAGAATGATCATATGAAACTAGTCCTGTGGATTCGGGTGCTGTTGGTACCGAACTCGGCATTGAGGCCTGAGGGGTGGCGGGCATAACGTTGGTGATATTGATAGGTAGAAAGTTAGCCTGGGAGGCCCCTTTGCTTCCTTTGCCGCTCCGCATACTGCACTTCCTCAGCATATAGCTGTTCGCGAATTTCATGTAGCATATCGTCGTGGGTTTGTAAGCTGCAACCTTATTCTACACATTTGATAAGGTTTCTCAGGTGGTGGGTCTTCAGCTTATAGTGCGTCTTTCCAATGGAGTCACGGCAACAGTATGGTCCCAGGTGGCAGGGTGGGCCGGAGCATCGCATCAGATTATACACTTCACGCCAGATGGGTGGCTGGCCTGAGATTTCTTCGGCACCAAGCTGCATGGCATAAGAACAAGGTCCTGTTCGGTGTCTTTCACGGCCATTCTATTGTTGGTTATCGACTTCCATTCAATGGAATAATAGATGCAAGTAGGAAGATGTTCGTCATATACCAAGTTTTCGTGCTAGTCAGATAGCTATACAAATGTTAGTTGTCCATAATCGCGTTGTGCTGACCTTTGGCTAGCCAAGGCGACACCATCAACATCGGCGTCTGTTGACAGAGGGCTCTCGGACAATGGACGGTTAGTCGGAGTGTCGGTCGTGCGATCGGCGAGCAAATCAGGGGGGCTCGGACAACGGCCAGACGACGAAGTCGTCAAACGTAAACGAGTTCGGATGTGCCATAGCGGTTTGATCAGAGTGTTCGCTCGGCAATCGGTAGGACGTAAGGACCCTAATCCTCTATGACATACTGTGAACTATTGTTCGCATTTGCATGGCGGCTGGAGTGGGTTTACCTTATAGTGTCATCAACGGACAACGGTGCCTGCCAGTAGTACCGGGACTCGTGTGGTGGAAAGACACTGGATCGATTGCGACGAAGTGGACAAGCGGGTGTGCGAGGCCTTGGTTTGTCGAACGTTCAGATTCTTTGCGGCCACGTGACGAGCCAGTCGCTGCTAATTTAGCTTGTGCCAGAATTCCGGCTTGGTGGCATCCAAAGATCCTTGTGCGCACTCAGATCAGTGACAGGCCCAGCGGCTCTTTGGCGGAAATGCCGTGACTCCCTTCCGTAAGGGAAAACCGAAAACTGCCATCTTGTGGACAATCGCACCGCTGGCCGACATGTTGCGATGAAAAGCGCGCAAAGTACTACAGTAAGTATATGTCGCCTAAAACGATTGGCTATGGATGTGTTGTCAGGTAGGACGCTTCAGCCCGAAAAAATGGCTGGCGACATTCAGCTCGCCTCTACCCCG